TAAGTTCACAACGTATTACACGAAGTAGAACAAAGATGACTTGAAAATGGCAAGTGTGATCTTGCCGAAACGTCGTCCAGAACACGATTCTATCCAGAATCAAGAAAACCATACGCGGAGAGGAACCCGGAAACATCTTGACAACATATATATATATCAAAAAATGGCAATTAAATAAACAAGCAGTTACTTGATCGTTTTTAGTTATGTTTTTAGTAGGAATACTGCAACGAAACTAATCAATTACATGCATTAACCTTTTGATACCCATTTAAATGTAATTATAGTTGCTATGGGGAAACATAATAACATAATAAACACATTTCTATAAATCATACTATAATTTGTTTTGAATTCCATCTTGTTCAAATTTATGTAATTATCGTGGTGATAGCTGCTATAGCCGAGATATGTGTCGCCTATTTATATAAAAATATATTAATTTTTCACCACAAAATAAAGTTCTTTTAATAAGGATGGACGTAAACAGAACGCGGTTTTATAGATCCTGAAGAGTCTACCGTTGAAAAACAAAATAATTTCGAGTGTTAGGTTTCTTTGAAGTTGCCGGAAGTCGGCATAAATCGCTACCTACTGAATTTGAAAGGAGAAACAAAGATGCTGACAGAGTTAAATGCGTTTCAAGTTTTCATCTGGAATAATTTCTTAATTCCAGAAAACAGACGATCTTTTATTTTAGTTAATAAAATCGTTTATACTTTAGACAAAATAAGAAAGATTGGTGAAAAAATGTATTCTTCAATGTACGTATTTTGACTGGAATATCAATCAATCCCCAGACGTAAAGACACGTCGAATAGAAAAAAAAATAGAAATTTTTTTGTTACATTATATTGAACTAGCGGCCCGTCCCGGCTTCGCCCGAGTTGACATTTATTTTAAACATTTTGGGATATAAAAAATATAGCCTATGTTACTCAGGGATAATGTAGCATTCTAATGGTGAAAGAATTATCGAAATCCGTCCAGTAGTTTTTGAGTTTTTTCGTAACAAACATACATACAAAAATACAAATCTTTCCTCTTTATAATATTTTTTCTTTTGTTAAAATTTGAGGTATGTAAGTGGGTATTTATTAGATAAAAGATAGCGAACACTTCTGTGGCTGTAAGTGCTTTAAACTACTTAATAGTTTTTTTCAATCACCATTCTTTTGTAAGTACCTATTTGTTTAAACATAAATCAGGTTTTTATCTAAGTTAATAGAATTTAGCATTTATTTGGTCAACATGATGAGAAATAAAAAAATAATAGTAAGGTATTTATTGATGTAAATAAAATGTATTTAATGCGAATTAAGGATGTTATCTATGAAATCCAGGGAGGCCGTGATTTTGTGATAAACATTCGGGTAAGTTGTATTGGCTGTTCCACAAGCGATTGTGATGAACGAATCTATGCCCACCTGCTTGCCTTCCACCAAGAGCGGTGAGCCTGAATCCCCCTAAAATCATAAAAGTACTTCGTACTTATTAAAGTGTAAGAAAAAATGGATTTTTAATTACAGTACAGATACATAAAATGCTAAGAAATGAGATATATGCAAAGAAAATTTACATAACAAGCTCCTCCAACGGGTGCTCCAATGCAAACGTGTTTAGTTATATCAAAATCCCGTCCGCAAATCGAATCTGAGTAGATTTCAACGGCCAGTTTTTGAAGAACGGATGATGTGTGCCCATTATTCTACAAAAACCAATTAGTTTTCATGATTTCAGCAGTTTTTAACTGCATCATTTAGCGGTAAGATTTAATGAAGGAAATACTCTTACCCATAATCTACCCCATCCAATGATAACTCCTTGATGTTCGACACTCGTACTGAAATCTCTGTACAACGTAACAGGTTGCCAAGGGTAGTCAGTTGACAGTGGTTCCGCTAGCTGGAATTTTACCACAACAAATAAAATGTAATCGAAACATTCCTTAAAGATGAAGATAATAAGATTGGTTACATATGTGACATAAAATTACTACAAAGTCAATAATGAGTTTAGTCCTAACTTTTCCATAAGCTCAACCTTAGTTTTAATGTCATTCCTATTTTACTTAATTTACACGAATTTGGTCCAATTTTAAGAACTGGCTAACCAATTGCAGACAAAAAAATAGTAACTTTCAATACAAGGTCAGGTCTCAAAATCTCTTTAGTTAGCACTAAGACTAGATTAGGATTTTTATAAACAAACATATTGAAACGTGTTGCTTAACCTGTTAGGACAAAGACTGGAGCTAAGTTAAGTTTAAGAAAGGGCTAAACATGTTTATAAATTCGACATAAGTAGTATTCTTCTTTAATCAAGTTTATGTTGTTGTAGACCTGAGGGAGACAAACCCTAAAACAAAATAATCGCGGCAATATCTTTAGCTGGATATGCGGGATCGAGCGGGTTTATCGCTCTTTACCCTATTCATCGCCGAAGAGGTAGGCGCTTTCGTCGTCATCCCGGATTACTTTATACAGGGTGATTTATTAACAATGGGAAAATTGAAAGCTGAAGATACTACACGTGAAATGGTGACCATTGGCGCAAACATGCCTTATCCGAAAATTGATAGTTTCGGAAATATAGGGTGTTGAAAGTTAAAATTTTAAATCGTTTTCTTGCGATTATTCTGAAAATATGTAGGTTAGGAACTTGAAAATTTGTGAAACTACGTTTTTTTAGGCGACAAATAAGATGCGTGTTGTAATTTCAGCATTGCTCATAGAGGGCGCCACTTACGACCAATTTTACCGAAAATTTAGTTAATAACTTTTTACCCTGTATGTCTAACATGAAACTAGATTCAAAACCTGAAAAAGCAATAATTTTTCCATTAATTGTTTATTCTTGTTTTATTTCGGTATCTCGATCCGTTTTCGAGAAAAATCGATTTAACGAACACTATGTTTTGATAATACGAGAAATTAAAAGCGAAACAAACCAAGTGTTTCTTCGTGTTATTACAACAATTAACAATAAAACAAATAAAATACGTAATTATGATTTAAAGTAATTGTTCGAAGAATCCACCGTTGACACTGATACACTTTACACGTTTTCTGAGAGATCTTCGAGTTTGAAACAACATATTGGGATTGCGTCTGACTTCGTTGGCAGCGATTTGTATTCTTTGCCACAACTCTTCACACGAGCCAATAGATTCTTTGTAAACTATATCTTTCATTCGAGACCAAATAGAAAAATCAAGAGGATTGAAGTCCGGACTTCTGGATGGCCAAGCAAAAATGCTTACATGGCCAATCCAGCGATTTGGAAAAACTGCATCTAAATATGCACGCACTGGCCAAGAAAAATGCGGTGGAGCTCCGTCGTGCATGAACCACATGTCTCTTCTTAAATAAAGTGGAACTTCTTCAAGCCGTGGAAGCATTTTTACTTGGCCACCCAGAAGTCCGGACTTCAATCCTCTTCATTTTTCTATTTGGAAGAATCTATTGGTTCGTGTGAAGAGTTGTGGCAAAGAATACAAATCGCTGCCAACGAAGTCAAACGCAATCCCAATATGTTGTTTCAAACTCGAAGATCTCTCAGAAAACGTTGTGTAAAGTGTGTAAATGTCAACGGTGGATTCTTCGAACACTGACTTTAAATCATTATTACGAATTTCATTTGTTTTATTGTTAATTGTTGTAATAACACGAAGAAACACTTGGTTTGTTTCGCTTTTAATTTCTCGTATTATCAAAACATAGTGTTCGTTAAATCGATTTTTCTCGAAAACGGATCGAGATACCGAAATGAAACAAGAATACACAATTAATGGAAAAATGATTGCTCTTTCAGGTTTTGAATCAAGTTTCATGTTAGACATACAGGGTAAAAAGTTATTAACTAATTTTTCGGTAAAATTGTTCGTAAGTTCCCAACCTACATATTTTCAAAATAATCGCAAAAAACCGATTTAAAATTTTAACTTTCAACACCCTGTATTTCCGAAACTCTCAACTTTCGGATAAGGCATGTTTGCGTCAATGGTCACCATTTCAAGTGTAATATCTTCAGCTTTCGACTTTCCCATTGTTAATGAATCACCCTGTATAGGAATATCTCGAAGGAAATTATTTGTCATAGCATTCTTTACTTGACTATACAATAATTTGGTAACCTTCACCGTGTTTCCTACGGTGAACTAAATAAAAGGAAATTTCACTCTTACCACTAAAACAGCAGAGTCATTTTTCTGATCATCATTGCAGACAATTTTGGCAACTTGCACACTTCTTTCAGAAGTTTCTGATATGTAGATCGATCCATACTGGATGGAATAGAGATTGGGGTCTAGAAGCCTAAAATAAATAGCAATAAATCTTCAAATAGTACATAATTTGCTACCAATTATTACTCATCGGGCGCACAAACGCAATGGATAGCAGTCAGCACGTGTGTCTCATCGAGAATTGTACCTCCACATATATGTCTCGCATTCTCTCTCACAGAAACCTGAAATATCGAAATCAAATTTAATTGCAAATGCTTTTGAGTATAAACACCGCTCAAAAACATAATACACAAAATAAAATTAATATGCATCTGTTTATGTCAGTACCTAAACATTTAAAATCAGAAAAGTAATAAGGAAAATCACGACAACACTTACTGCAAATGGGAAGTCTCCTTCTTCAACGTCCGTACCATTGACAATTCTTACGTCGACAGCTAAAAATTCAATCCAGATATTATATTTTCACAATTTAATGTAAAGTACTACTACTAAGTCTTACCGTACGAAAAACTAAAAAGTACTGTAAGCACCACCAAAGTCAACATTTTTAGTCCAACTAAAAGTGTAGGTACGTGTGGAGTTGGGATCACTATTTATATCTTTTTGTATCTATACATACCCGCTAATTTAAACTTCATCTACAAGTTGTAGTATCCGCTTTACAGTCGAGTGCCTCTCAAACGATTATATCGATCAGCGGTGCATATTGATTAGATATACCCACAAAATGAACAAATCCTTAAAAATAATATATATTTATATCCATGTTACAAAATATGTCCACTTTTCCAATACCTATCTACTACATCATTTAGAAATTAATTTTGCTGTATGATGATGAACTTATGGAATACAAAGGTATAAAATGGTCACTGGAAACATTGATAAATTAAAAATTGAGGCGTCTTATCATCAATTACTCATGATGTAAAAAGTTCAAGAGTATATCTAAACGACAGGATTTTGTTAATTACTTAAATTAAGATTATAATTTCCATTGTATTCAATATTTTTTATTGTTTTGAAGTATTAAACAGAAACGGGATAAGAATCGAAATTTGCCAAGCATACGTCATTCTTCTGCAAATTAATTTATTAAAATAGATATAAAGTAGTTCCCAATGTACACGTTATTGTAATTGTTTATAAATATGTACCGAACAAAATTTTAGTTGAGGGCAACGCCAGATTCTCGATAGTCGAGATCTTACAAAAGGTCGCTCAGGATTCGAAGCTTCCCCGTTAAAGAGGTGATTGAACGTCAACGTCGTTATATAACCAGAGTAACTGCCGATCCAAATAACTTGTAAACCTATGGTCAATATAGTCAGTACTACAGATATCCGCATGTAACCTATTACTGTTATCACAGACAAAATAGCTATCGCCACAGATCGCTACTGGAATAGGCCAGCAGTTTTAAATTTTTGAATAGACGATAGAGTACACCACCTGCAGAATTTTAGGAAGAATCAAATGCAGCGGCCCGCAATCTTATGTGTATCCCAGCAATACATAAACAACGGTTTGACAATGTTGTCACGTGTACTTATGGGTTTATTTTGTACACATTTTTATCAATGCCTGTTTTTGCGTTACTGTATTTACTTAAATATAGATATTGATACATAGTATATTAAACAACAAGGTTTGAAAACGACTTTTTGCACACGAGCGAGACATATTGGTGGACCGAGCCGAAGGCGAGGTCCACAAGTCGAACGAGTGTGCAAAGAGGTTTTCAAACGAGTTTTTTACGATACTTTTTATACGACTGCAAACAGAAACCACAAAAATCAAATTTTAATTTAAATCGTTTTTATTACTAAAATTGCCAACGCATTAACAAAATAAATTAAATACAACTTTTAATTTAACTCGTTTTTATTAAGAAAATTGCTAACGCATTAACAAAAGAAACTAATATTTAATATTTATGGTAACATTTGAACATTCCTTCAAGGTTACGCTGGGAAAAGCAGTATTATTGTGCACCTTGATTTCGGTAGTAGTCCAGGAAAATTAGACGAAAATAGGGCCGAACCTCGGAATTGCATAAAGAAGGTTCGATTTTGATGGGACAAAGTGCGTTCTCTTCGTAATTGCATGTACATCAAAGTCTACAACGTCTCATGCGGCGCTAATTTGTTTATTTATAAATAATCAATTATTATTAACAAATAATCGTATTTCGGATATTACGTGGGGTGGAAACGGCCAATCTTGATGCGGTAAAGCTCATTCTTCTTCTTATTAGTTGTACTTTAACTGTAAAGGACCCCCACCGATCTTCATTTGTTTATCGGTTTTTATTTGATTGTTATAAACAAATTAGACGTGATATCTGCGGTCGGGAGTAGGACTAGCCGATTTGGACGGGATGAACGTGGTTTTATATAGAAAGTTCAAGACCCTAATGCAGGAAGTGAATTCTCAAAAAGCTGAAGACCATATAGAACATGAATCATTATGAATAAATGTTATCCACTTCTCTTTGATTAAAAATTATCCATTCTAAGTCTTAGTTACAGATTGCACATGTAATTTTTTTATAATGATTAATTAGTAAAAAGAAACAAATGAAGATCATTCAGACCTTAACGGTTTTCGAATATCCCGGATGATGATCAAAGTGACTTATTCCATAAAAATCAGACTTTTCTTGTCCAGCTCACAGATAACAGCCCGAATTTGTATATACAAATGAAAATCAGTCTGCCCTTAGTGGCCCTTAGAGGTTCTGGATCACCTTGTAATCCAAGTACGAGAAGAGCGTCGATTACGGCGTGAAAATCCCCCTCTCCCAGTCCGATTGCCTAATTTGCTCTTAATGATCGAATAAAAATCAATAAACAAATGAACATCGATGGGAGTCTCCCAAAGTTAAGGTACAACTAATCAGAAGAAGAATGGGCTCTAACGCATCAAAATTGGCCTTTTGTAATCCACGTAATATCCGAAATACGCTAATTTTTTTTAATAATAATTGATTATTAATAAATAAACAAATTAGCGCCTCATGAAACGTTGTAGACTTTGACCTACATACAATTACGAATAGAACGCACTTTGTCTCATCAAAATCGAACCTTCTTTATCCAATTCCGAGGTGAAATGCTAATTTTCCTGGACTATAGGTAATAGAGAATATTTTTGGTGTCGTGTTTTTAGTGCAGTTTTTCAGCGAGCGGTCGTTGTTTTCTTGTTGTATTCCAGTAGACGATCGTTGTTCTGGTTCTGTGGCAGCAGAAGAAGCAAACTTCCATTTTATTTCTCAAACAGTCATCAACGTAGCCTTCGGCAAATGTACTGGATTTCCACCCTCCATGGCGTTTGAGGGCAAGCAGATTTGAGCCAGAATTGTCTAAAATTGTGGCCGATAAACGCCGAAAACCATGTCCCGTATATCTTTCTGGGTTCTCTAGCATCAAAAACTTGGCGATTTCCCTAGCCATGTTTCCAATTTTGTTGATGCCAACGTTTTGGCTTGAACATTTTCCGTTTTGATAGTTTAAAAAAAACCTGCCTGTCTTCAGATTAGGAGGACGAAGAGCACAGTACTTTTTTAAGATAGTGTAAAGGTTTCCTGTAATTGTAAAACACCTTGGTACCTTTGTTTTTGTATTCTTCAGTTTAATCAGCATAGCACTGCCGAAATCTTTGGTGTCTTCTATTTTGAGATAACATAATTCCTCCCTTCGACATGCCCCAGATAGTCCAACTGCCACCACCGCCTTGATAAGTAAATATTTGTCGTCTGATGCTTTCGTCAAAAACCGGCAAAAATCATCTTCTGTGAGGATTTGGGACTTCTTTGGGACGTAGTTTTCGGATTTTCGTTTGATTAGCGCTTGCAACTTTTTATAGCTTCCAAGATCTATGTTGTGATTGGCACTTAACGTTGACTTGAGCATCGAAAAAATCGTCCACAACGTCGAAGATTTATATTTCTTAGATAGTTCTTCAAAATACACCATTACTGCGTTTTCTGAGAAAGTTTGGACATTTTTGGCTAGTCGCCAGTCCATAAATCGGCTTAACTCAGCTTCATACCTGCTTCTGGATTTTGTGGGCAGCAGTTCCGAACATATTTCGCTTGCTTTCTGTAAAATCTCTTCAGAATCACACATTTTCACACCCAAACTTCGGGAATTCAACAATTTTTGAAGTATCTAATCAACAAAATAAAGGAGCCGTGACGGTTGCTATGAAACTCAGACAACTTGAAACATTGCATAATTTGGGTGACAACATCAAACAAAAATCACAATCTGGAGACGTGTGTGCAAAGATGGCATAACCGTGTGCAAAATGTTTAGCACACGGCGTGTGCAAAATACCGTTTTCAGAGCGTCGTATAAAAAATATTTTAAAGAATGAACGAATAGGTACCTATGTAGTCAACATAGACGATCGGATATTCTGCAGCGGTTATTTAATCATAATTTGGTTAATTAGCTACTATTTTAATTTTTGGTCTTGAAATACTGCAGAAAATATATTTACAAATAAACAAAATTCGTAATAATATTTTAAACAGCTTGTTAATATACATTTTTTAATATTTGATGAGAAATTTATTTATGTACAAGGTGAATTATTAGTACGTCGCGGAATGTAGGTACAGGATTTTTGTTTGTATTTTGACATCCACTTATAGGTTTAATAAAAGACTAGCTGCCCGTCCCGGCTTCGCACGGGTGGACATTTATTTTAAACATTTTGGGATATAAAAAATACAGCCTATGTTACTCAGGGATAATGTAGCATTGTAATGGTGAAAAAATTATCGAAATGCGTCCAGTAGTTTTTGAGTTTATTCGTAACAAATATACATACATACAAAAATACAAATCTTTCCTCTTTATAATATTAGTATAGATTCCGTTTGGAGTATTGTTCTTCTACATCTGTATTATTATTATATTGTTTATATTTTAAGTTGTTTATATTTTATTGTTGCTTTTGTTGTGTAAAACAAGTGTTTAGTCACTTATTGCCTGCTTATTTATTCACTGTCATTCTTGTTGCTGTGTTTTATTTTGTGTAAAATTATTTGTGTGTGAATAAATTAATTATTATTATTATATTATTGCTGCCTATCTCTTGGGTAAGAACATGAATCTATATTAAAATACACATCATGTCATGTGTATTGTACGTATGTGTATAAAGTAGTAGCAGTTATCATTGTTGCTCCGCTACAGACATTTTTATATCTGTTCCATCAAAAGGGACAGCAAATGAAATTCCTGTAACAATGACAACGAATTTATTTAAACGTTGAATATTCTTTTCTGTGCTTTTCAGTAGACAATTGTACGTACGTCGTATTTAAATTAAGATATCTGACACACTTAAATGAATGTTAGGTACAATGTAACGTCTGCAAATGTTCGCTTGGGAAACAATACACGTGATTATCCAATATTTCAATTTGAAATACATAAAGACGTTTTTCAAGAAGAATTTGTGTATTGGATAGGATGTTTTCTCCTGTCCTAGTCATAATTTCTCGCATTAAACAGCACAAAACATTGAAGCAATTTTGTGAGATTGCTGCTGATAGTCCAGAAACATCAATTCCATACCGTGGTCAAGAATTTCGAGAA